TATTAGCTATAAGTCATTATTCTTTAATTGAATAAGGGCAATGGAATAGTGAAAAAATTATCTGTGCCAAACCTACCAAGATTTCGTTCTTGACACTGTTAATTTTAACTTCCGAATATTAAATTCCTTTTGAACATTGTCAATCAATCCACAGTTTTAATCTACTACGATTCAAGCTATGGGAGCACCATGTATTCATGGATGTTGCAAGAAAGAAATATAGGATTTAGAAAATCATTATTGATTCACTATGAGTAAATGTTACGTTTTTAATTTATAGTACAATCGTGCAAAATGAGTAAATATGGATATACAGAGAAGATTGTGGATGTGAAAGTGTAGAAATGAATAGATTCACAGTGTTTTTATCTCCGCTGTTAGAAAGAATTATTTCTCTAAACTTTTTTTTTTTTTTTTTTTTTTAATTTTATTGATGATATTTACAAGTAAAAATACATTCAGTAAATGTGAACACAAGAATATAATAACATGAAATCACTTGTTGAGAAACTACCCACTGGTAGCACTCTAAAAATGTATTTACAAAAGGAGATCTCGAGGCCATCTTCTTTTCAGACGCCTCGGAGGGTTGTCAGGGATCGAAGAGGAAGCAAGGTTAGAAACGAGAGGGTTTGGACTTTTTCTCTAAACTTAAAAGTAAAATAAACATGTTAAGCTCAGGAAATATTAGAAGATAGGAAGAAAATTTAGTTGCGTGCCTAATATCATAAGGATCATTTCCAATAATTGAGACATATGTACTGGTACACTATCAGTTTAGGTCATGATTTTATAATTTTAAATATCTAATTTTTGAAGAAATAAAAACTCTTCACATAGTTTATATAAATAAAAGGTGTATACGCATGTAGCTCTATTGCATCTTTGTTGGCTCGATCTATCCACCTAATTGTTTGCCTTTCACGTAGTCTTTTACCTACCATTGAGGCATTCATTGTTGTCCAGAGGCTTGCTTCAAGACTCCTGTTAGATTTCGTAATAAGGAGTTTTCTATAGGATATGGTTATTTATTAGCCCTGTACCCAACCCCAAATCTGGAGGACCAGAAGTTATGGTGTAAGGTACAGCGGTCGCTCACTTCCCTGTTAATCTCTGGATGAGGACTCTGGATGGGTTACCTGAGTGCTCGGGTAACGCCTGTACTCATATTATTTTATTTTTATTATTAATTCAATTATTATTTTTATCTTTTGTTATGAATTCTGTGAATGAGATTCAAACTCATTATTTTTGGGTAAAAAAACAAAATAAACAAAACACCTCTATACACATTGAGTGTATTAGATAATTATACATGCACTGACTAATACTAAATAATATAACATAGATGGATTAATATCAACAATCTTAAACTTGGAGTGCGTCATCGAGCTAAAATGAAAATGTTTGGCTGAAATTACTTACTACTGTATGTATATATATAGAAATAAATATATATATATATATATTTATATATAATTTTTTTTTTTTTATTCAATTATAAGTAACTGTTTATTTTTATATATATATATATATTCAAGTAAAGTTTTTTTTTTTTTTATGAAATGAACTCATTGTATCTCTTTTTCGTTCTTCATTTCTCAAAGTGTATGTTTATGTTGTTCAACCCTTAAATATAATTTTGTTCATAGTTCAAGTGATTCGTTCATAGTTTTAATTGTTTTGTTCATAATTTTAAATGCTCTGTACATAGTTTTATCTGTTTGTATATAGCTTGTGCACCTAAGGTTTTCTTTACTTTTTATTTTATTTTATCAATTTTATTTATTGTTTCAACGTTCAGGCCAGTAATATTCTATTATTTTGTACATTATTGTTATTCTGAAGGGACTTAGTCCCAGAATAAAGTTTTTTTTTCTATCTATCTATCTATCTATATATATATATATATATATATATATATATATATAATTGGAAATCATTATGGACTTAATTGCCCTTGCCAACTCCATTTAACTAGTCTCAATTCAGTCCATAATGATTTTTAATTATTAAGATATGTTTCTTATCTGGATAACGGCCTAAGGGCTGAAACGTTAACGTAGAAAAACAAATAAAGTAGGACTGTAGGGATCAAATATGTGGTTTTATTATCACTTACTATTTTTATGTTTTGTGAAATGCTGAATCAAAAATATTTCTTGCTTAAAAATATTTTAAACCGTTATTTCCGAAATTTGGAGAATTGTTTATCATTTTATGGCTAGAAGTCGTGTTTTATTCCTATAATGAAACACGATTATTAAAAAAAAATTTAACATTATTTTAATGACGAATTGTATAATAATTAATAAATCACAGAAGAAAAGAATAATTTTCATCGTCCATTGAAATGTTTGGCGGCTGCATTTCGAAAAATTTATTATAAATTTTTGTTGAGTAATTTTCCATCGGTCGATAGATCCTAATAATGAAGGGTTTCTTAGGCCTCCTTACGAAAGTAGAAAGTTTGTAAGTTAAAATTCGACATTAAAGCGATAAATGCGATTTTCGCATCGGTTACTTGGTTTCCTGTTGAATCCACATAACGGAGAAGTAGCACAAAATATTTAACTATAATATAAATGGTGCTTCTTATGTAAAATATAATTATATAATTTAAACATTTACTTATATGTTTTGATCCACTTGTTTATAAACTGTGTTATAAAGTATTCAAAGTGCTGGATTGAATAAAAATTGTAGAATAAAATTGAGTTACATAAATAAATAAAAATTAATGCGTCCAACCATTACTGGTTGCAAAATTAAAAAAAATCTTGACATTATATCAGATTTTAAGATTGAGTTAAAAAAAGGCGTTAATCATGTAAGATCCATTTACCCCAATCCTTATACCTAGTCCTCAAATCCTATCTCTCAAATCGTTCCTTCCAAGTCCGTTGCTGCACCGAATTCTCCACTTACTATCCAGTTGAGGCTGGTGTTCCACAAGGCAGTGTTTTGGGTCCAGTTCTCTACATCCTTTTCACTGCCGATATCCCTCCAAATCCCGATACCTTCCTAGCTACATTTGCCGATGATACTGCCATTCTATCCTCCCACTCAGATCCTCAAATAGCATCTCAAAACCTACAATCTCACCTCTCCTTGATTGAGCAGTGGTGCAACGACTGGCGCATTAAAATCAATGAAGCAAAATGTAAACATATTACTTTCACTCTGCGACGCAGATCCTGTCCCACAATCCTTTTCAATTCAATACCACTTCCCTACTCAGATACAGTCCGTTACCTTGGCTTCCTTCTAGACAAAAGACTAACTTGGAACCCACATACGAGACTTAAAAGACAAGAACTTAACCAACGATATGGCCAGCTATATAGACTACTAAGCAGGACATCTCATCTTTCGATTGAAAATAAACTTTTAATCTACAAGACAATACTGAAACCTATCTGGACCTACGGACTTGAACTGTGGGGAACTGCTAAACATTCGAATATCAAACGCATCCAATCCTTCCAGTCCAAAGTACTTAGAACAATAGCCAATGCCCCATATTATGTCACAAATAAGACCCTACACCATGACCTTAACATCCCTTTTGTCCTCGACATCATCCCATCCAGATTCTCAAACTTTCACCAGAACCTTATCCATCATCCAAATCCTCTAGCTCAATCCCTATCCAGCTCCCACCATCCCTACAATCCCCCTCGAAGGTTAAAACGGCAGTGGCCGCGAGATCTATTGTAAATATGCTTCTGGAGTCCTGGCAATGGCCAGCTTCTCCACTCAAGTCCTGAGCATCTGTGGCTCTAGTGCCCTCCTTCAGCCTCCACTGGCTTTTAATACTAGTGATGCGGCTGGAAAAGTGGCACTGGGATCTCTGGAGTCCTGCTTTGCTTTCCACATGTGGGGAGAAAAGGCTGGCTCGGAGATTCCTGGGCGAATGTATATATTGTATATAGGTATGAATGTGTTTAGAAGTTTTTATTTTATTTTGTTTATTTATTTTTTTATTTTATTTATTTTTTTTTCTATTGATTTACATTTTTTTTATAAGTATTATTTATTTACTTTTATATTTATAGTTACTTCTGTATTACTTGTATATACTGTATGAATGAGAACTTTTAGCCTTAATACTTATAGCCCTCCAACAGTGGCTGATTGTATTATTATTCAATAAAAAAAAAAAAAAAAAAAAATCATGTAAGAATTTTATTATATATATTCATATTACAATTTGCAGTGAGCCTCAGAAATTAGTACAATTTTGTATGAGCATAGAACATTCACTCATGTTATTGTACAATTAAGATGATCGTTACTGTTTTAACTTTTCATGAAAATATCAAGGTGAGATTGGATGGTGAGTTTATCTCTTGACAGATTTGGTTAGATTGCATTTACGGCAAGAACAACTTATCAAACCAAGCTAAAAAAAAATTGTCTGCTGGTGTAAATACAATTTAATGCAACAGTTTAACTATCAAAATAACCAAATATAAGAGAGAGAATCACTCTATTATCATAAAAGGGTTCTGCCCAATTACATTGGGTTGCTTTAAACACAGCATACTTATTAATCGCTACAGACAATTTTCCAAAACCAATATACAATTATATAGTATTAACAATATGTATGAGCATAGTATACAATTTTTTTATATTATATTATATTATATATATTTATATTTATATATATATATTTTATATTATATTTTATTTATATATTTTTTTTTACTATTTCTTTCATTCATTTATTAGCATTATATATCCCTTTCTCTTCCTTCTCTCCCCTTGTACATTTTTCTCATTCCCTAGATTCTTTCCTCCCTCTTCCTTACCTGATTCATAAAATGCATACAAATACATAAAGTGCAGTGGACGTGGTCAATAAATAATGTAAAAATGCTGTAAAACACGCATGCCACCCCCCATGAACAAACTCTCTCTATCCATGCACATGGTGATGGATAATTCCCAGGGAGTCGAGGATTATATTCTCCGCCAACCTCGCCACGTCTTTTATGTCTACACCAAGGCCCTCCATGAAGCTCCTTGTTGAGTTCGGTATCGTTTAGCAAGCTCCGAACCAAAGGCCTCTCACGTGGAACTCTCTCGGCCCGAAACTCTCGCGGAACTTTTCACTAAGAGATCTTAATTAAAGAAAAATAGAAAAGTAGGCCAAGTTTACATGGTGGGTTTTTCTTTTGGCAGGTCTGCTAAGGTTATATTTCCAACAACAAAATTGACAGATATAGATAGAATGTAATACAATTTAACTACTGAAATAACCGACTGTAAAAATGTAGATATACAGGGTGTCTCAGTTCTTAATGGCCAAACTCTGGGGAGTGGCTCTAGACAAAATTTCCAACAAAAAAGTACATCTGATGCAATTTTGTGCCTTCCTTAAGGTAGTCACGGTTTTTATAGAATTAGAATTAGAAACCACTTCAGTCAAAAAAATGCGACAAATCGTTTTCGGTGAAAAGAAGCTTAGAAATGCAAGATGCATGTTGAGTTTAAGAACGACGTCAGTCTGAGAAATTCCTGAGGATATCTACTTCTCAAACGAACTAAGATTTGAAAATATTGATTAATATTTTATTTTAAGAATAGAAGGATTTTTATTCTTAATTTCGGACCAAATTTGTAACACATGGAATTTTGAGATTTTGTCACTTATAATAATAATAATAATAATACTTTACTTATTCTGGGACGAGTCCCTTTAGAATAATACAGCAATACAGAAATGTGTGCTAAGGAGCCTCAGGGATACATAAATAAAAATACAGAGTAATTGAATAGTCTTAGTGAGAGAAAAAAAATATATATATATATATATATAAGTTACTTTCTAATTTTGATCAGTTAATAATAAAAATAGATAAAAAAAATGGAGTAAAAATAATGAAGAACGAACTAATAATTTATGTACATATTTACAGTGGTACCTATTTACAATTTTATGGGGACTGGATGGATAAGAAATGATTGAACAGGCGGGATTTAAAGGTAGGAAGGATATTGGATTGACGGATTTTGGAAGGGATGGAGTTCTATAGGGATAAGGATCGGATAATGAACGATTTATCGAAAACGGCGGTTCGGTGGGCCCTTAAGTATAAATCAGAAGACCGGTATACTCGGAAGAACGAGTATTCCGAGAACGAACAGAGGATTTGAATTGAAGGAGCTCGAAGATGTATGAGGGACGGTGGGATTGGATGACTTGAAAGAGGAAGGATGCCTGGAAATACTTACGACGGTAGGAAGGATAAAGCCACTTTAACTCCGCATAAAAATGGGAACAGAGGCGTCCCTTGGAATCCCGAAGCTGAATCGTACAAAGCAATTTATCAAACGTTTTAGTTTCGCCTCGATATCTCCAAAGACGCCCCATATACCGTACATAAATAGTTAAAGTGGGGAAAAATAAAGGAAGTGACTAGGAGCCTACGGGTTTCAAAAGGAAATAGGTGACGAGAATAATTTAGACGTTTTATGGTGGAAATGGTACGGCGGTAAATATTGGATATATGGTTTTTCCACGAAAGCGTTTGATCAATGGTTATTCCAAGATTTTTGATGGTGGGGTAAAATTTGATGGGATTATTGTGTAGGAACAGAGTTTTATGATGATGAGAGATGAGAGAGTGTAGGAAGTTATAGGACTATACATGAAAAAAATTAAGTTGATATTCTTATTAATACACCATTGCCGCGCTAAATCTCTCGTTTTATATTAATTTTAATTTTATAGTTGTTAATTTTTTTAACGACTTTCCTCACTACCCATGAGATGTATTGTGAGCGCAAAAAAGTTAGTTTAAAACATCATAATAATTTTAGTTTTTGTTTTGTTTTGATATTTGCAAAATTGACTGAGTTAGAGTAGGTAGGATACGCTAATACCTATTCACACTAGGCTGCCATATTTGTTGCGCTATAACTAACAGAACCAGTTGAGTCTCAATGATCAAATTCGTATCACACATTCTTATCATTAAGAGGTATAAACTGTATCAATTTCATAATTTTTCACTCAGTCCCTTTTGTGATATATAACATCAAAAATTTATATTTAAAAAAGAACAAGGTTTTCAAGATTGAAATTTCACCACCAAGAAGTACCGTGGTAGGACTGCATATGAAAAAAAAATGAAAGTTGAGACTCTTTTCATTATTACACTTTTGCAGTCCTAAATGTCACTTTTTTTTTGTCTATTTGCATGTTTTTTTAAAACCACTTTCCTTTCTTTTAGGCGATGTATTTATCTACAGAAATGTAGCAAAAAATATTCTAAATTATTTTCAGTTTTCATTTTGGCATGATATCTACAAAATAACCAGAGTTACAGGCATTTAGCCAAAACATTTTTTTCAGTCGAAAAGAAAATTAAAAATGGCCGCCGAGAAAAACTGTGAGTCTCAATTTTTTTTTAACTACGGCTATAAACTCTCAAATAAATGTGGAATAACTGGTAAAAAAAATATAAAAATCAAAAATGTTGAGCAACAAAATTAATTCAAATTAGGTGATTTTAAATGGATTGACACCATAATATTTACATTTGAAAATTTATACAAATGTATTGTTTAAAAAATATAAAATTTCAAAACAATGAAAGTAAAAATTATACATAACAGCACTTAATATTTTTAACTTATGTAACTTTATGCACATTTAATATATAATTACGAAATATTAACCAATGGCGCATCCAACGCATAAAAAGATCCAACTATACTATATACTTCGATTGACTTACTTAGGTTATAAAAAAAATAAATGAAGTTCAATGGTTCAGAGATAAATTAATTTATGGAGGGTTAAACCAAAACAATAACGGATGGGGGAATGTGTGGTTGAATGATTTGAGCATACTTTTGACGACAGTAGTATTGTGTCCAACTGAATGTCAAGAAGATAGACCGTTACATCGAACTCTTTAGAGCGGTCGAAGAATGCTGATCACATCAGGACTCTTTGGCCCTAGCTCAATTCAGATATGTCTTCTTCATTTCTTTTTCACATGTCCAGATCATTAACGGAAATGTTGATTCAAACATCCTTAATACAAGTCAAGATATGTATCAAACAGACGTTTTCAAAGCAATGTCGATCCAAATTAGACAGTGTATAATAGTAACAAAAAAATGTGAAGACTAGCTAAAACCAGAGATGGCCAAATGCTACTCTGATTACTAAGTACCAAGTATCTTATTCACTTTCTGAGTACCAAAGAATTAATTCACTACTTCATTTCGTGTCAAAGGATTAACTGAAGTAGTGATTGAATTCCCAATAGTCATCCAATTTGAATAAAATACTTGTTACGCTGTACTCAGAGTAGCATTTGTTCATCCCTGGCTAAAACTGACACCAAGTATTCAAGAGTTTTATGTCTGATGGAAGCAATTCACATCAGTCAACTGTAGGCAATATATTGAAACATAAATGTTGTTCTATAAAAGGAAAAATTCGTTAATTATATCACGAATTTTTGTGAGCTTAATTATGAAGTAGATGAATAAATTGAATCAGACCTTCTATTGCTTACAACTTCAAAATCCACCATATTTATTGGATAGAGTAAAGTTTATGTTTTGTAATTTTCCAATATATTTTAAAACAATTTACAGTAAATGTTACGTATATTGAATGACAATAACTCATTACGATCATCATCAGTTGAATATTTATCGAAAAACATGTGTTTTAAAATAAAATATTTTAAAGAATCAAATTGCAACAAAATATTACGTCTTCTATCCTTTTGAAGGATTTTTCGTTATCCAAACAGTCTGACCGGCATCGGAACTCCTCCAACGATCCTTCCTATCACTCAGTTTCTTCTGGGTACGTAGTGCAACTTCCATATCTCGAAATAGGCCGATTGGCTTCATAAAACTAAAAAAAAAACTTTTCCTTCTGCTGGATATGCAAGATTATCCTCATGAATCGAATTTCCACATTTGAAAAAAGGTTTCCCTTCGATAACCTCAATACTTAGTATGGTGATTTCCCATTCCTCGAATGTACTCTAGATATTGAGGTAATTTCAGTGAGCTCTCGTGACGCATAGTGCGCCGTCTATACAATCTAGCGAGACAAAAGTCCTTATAAATGAAATAATTTATCTTTTCAATTAAAAATTGTTTTTAATTAGTTGCAAAAATATCATTTTACTTTCCACTTGAATCGTATGATAATTTGACCACAGTATCGAAACAAAAGGTGGCCTACAAAATATTAGGCCGTTCTGAGTGACCTTCACCCCCATGTCAAAATAACGAGGTTATATTAGTCAAATGGCCAAATATTTTTGTAGGCCACATTTTGTTTCGATTGTGTGATAAAATTATCAAGTGGAAAACAAATGAGTATTTATGAGCTTTCAGTACCTCATTAAATTAATTAATTTCATGAGAAGACGTCCCATTTCTGATAGTTTTCATAGATAAACTATTTGTAGGTTACGATAAAATAAAGCCATTCATGAAGTTTTCGACGGATGTTAATAATTTTATATTAAAAAATTTTAAATTGATTGATCAATTAATAAAAAATTAATTGAGCCCGTAACATTCATTTAGGGAGTCTCGAAATTTCCCTTTCTTACAAGTGATTTTAATAGATTAACGTATACACAAATAGATTGGCCACTGACGTCTTTCTTAAAATAAAAGATTACTTAATTTCTTAGTAATTTTTTATTACTTAAAGTAATAGATTTCAAGTAATCAAATTTTAACAAAACATATTATTTAAATTAAACTATAAGTTTAAACTTTTATTAGTAATTATAAAACAATAAATATAGTTCAATTAAATTAAAAGCCACCAAAATCTTAAATTTGTATTGAGTGGGACGTTACTAACAACTTATTGGACCGTAATAATAACTCTGGTAATAAAAAATAAAATAAAAAGGAAAATTGGTGTAACATTAAAAAATATTCAATATTTTTTAATAACGAGCATGCAAAACATAAATTTTATGTCCTTACGTATCAGAAGTTATGATCAATGAATTTCTTTTTTCTTATAGATATGATAAGATTCTCTTAACTGAACCGAATCTCAACGATTCAATCATTGTAGTGAATTGATTTTTATAAAACGATTCTTCAATTGATTCTTTTCATTTTATTTTTTTTCTTTAAATTGAAAAGTAACTTTTTATTGAAAAAAAAAAAAAAAACGTTCTCAAACCTTATGGTTAATCAGGCAAAAACATTTTTTTAATACATAAACAAATTTTAAATATTTTTAAAAGAAATGAAAATTAATTCTATTCTCTTAAGACTGATGTTCCTTTTGTACAACAAGCAATCAATGGAATATGACTGCATAGGCGCAGATTTTCCATTTTGGTTGGGGGGATTGGCGATGGATCCTCCCACTCATCACAAAACAAAGTTTCAGGAATTTATAATATGTATAAAAATTATGAGTAATAATTATCACAATCAATATATTTATAGTAAAAGGAACAATATAATATTATATACACTGACAGGCAAAAAATTCCACCCACTTGATTTTTTCATGTTTTCATCTAAAAATATTTCTGCTTTGGATTGATCTATTGTTTTTAATGATTAAATAGGTAATCTTTTTTTTCGTATTCAATTAGGAATGTTAATATAGAGGACAATAACCCTTAATCCTTAATTCAATGAAATGATTCTAGATTCCAATGTTTACTTTCTATGGAATCAAAATGCTTATTCAGTATCATTAGTTCAGTGCCGTTTCTCGCAGTACATTTCTTAGTCTCCGGCTTTTAATTTTTTCAATATTAAGTTTAAAAATGCCTCTTAGTGCTGATGATGTTGCGCGTGGTGTGGCACTTATTGATGATGGACGTTCCATTAGATATGCAGCTAATGCCATCGGAGTTCCATATGAAACTTTACGAGACGCCGTCAGGCGTTTTCGGGAAACTGGTTCTTACAATAGAAGGCCCGGTTCTGGACGGCCTAGGGTAACAGAACCACGGGATGACCGGTTTTTTACTTTGAGAATTTTATGAAACCGGCACCTTACCGTTGTTCAAGCGATTCATCAGCTCGAAGAAGTTCGAGGTATGCAAATTTCTGAACGTACCGCTCGGAGAAGATTAAATGAGTATGGATTAATGGCTTTTCGTTCGGTAAGACGACCAGAGTTTACCAGAACTCACAGAGTTCAATGCTCGCCCACATGTCGCCCGCATATTGCAGACGTTCCTTCAACAGAACAATATTGAGGTTTTAGCCTGGCCAGCACGTTCACCAGATTTGAACCCTATTGAGCATTTATGGGATAACCTCGGAAGACGAATAAGAGAGCGTGCAACACTTTCTGATATACTGCAGGACCTTGAAAGGGCTCTTCGGAAGAAATGGGCTTCCTCCAGCAAAGGGACATTTACCGTCAGGTGGAAAGAATGCCGAGGCGTCTTCAAGAAGTAGTGAAGGCAAGAGGAGGAAACACGCGCTATTAAACGATGGTGTAATTAATTTCTTTTAGAATAGTAATGGTTCGTTTTTCAATTTTTTTTTCTCTAATCTTTCTTACCCAATCACATTTTGATCATTAAAGGTAAAAAAGATTATAAAATTCCATAAATACTAAGTATTATCTACAAATACCATGTATTATATACAAATACAACTTTTTTTACAAGTGGGTGAAATATTTTTAGATGAAAACATGAAAAAATCAAGTGGGTGGAATTTTGTGCCTGTCAGTGTATAAAAGTAGATTTAGATACATGTTCTTATTTTTTCTACTTCAAAGCCCAGGAAATCTGCACTTTCTATAATCAATTCATTTCTAACAGCCTGTTCAACATCCTTCTCTACTGTTAAAAAACTAATAGAAGACAGAAATAAATATATACAAGTATTCTCCCCCTGCATCTAGTGATGTATATAAAATACAATACATACTTAGAATCGATAGTACAGAAAAACCTTACAAAATTTACTTGTTCATAATGACAGCTTGTAATACACTATATTTCTTAAAGAGTGATGGCCCACACACTGATTAAGTGTTATGATTAAGGACAATTATTGGCCAGTTCAGTGAACTATCTTTTTGTTCTTTTTATCATGTTAGGTTTTTTTTTTTTTTTGGTTTTTTTTTTTTTGGTTTTTTTGTTGTGGTTTCATTAATAACAGAGGTACATATTAATTTCATTATAAAATGTATTGAATTATTATTATTTCAGAGTTATTGATTTTCTTATGAGTTGAGTAAATATACAATTATGATAGACTCATGTTGATGAAATAAAGTTATTTTATTGAATTGTACAAGATTATAAATCTTTAATAAATAAAAATTCTAATCTATATTAGTTGTTTTTTTTTTGTTTTTTTTTTTTTTGCGTACGGATGTGTTTTAAAATGTTAACAAGGCAATTGAATATACTGCATATTTTTAGTTTTATTTAAAGATTTGAGGCAGTGAGATGAACTGTCAATTCTTCGATGTTTCAAATTATCTGCGGAAAATGTGATAATTCATGTAATAATGTTAGGGTGCACATGAATCATAAAATCCTAGGATATGTTGCTACATAAAGTTATCTCTAAGTATAAACTAAATTTTACGATAGAGACATAGGGCGTGGTAAAATACTTACATACCTACTTCTTGACCATAGCTTAGCCATCTAGTCAATTTTTCATGTTTTATTAATTTATTTTAGTTTAAATATATTATTTATTTATGTAGATTAATTGTTATTATTTTTTGGGGGTTAAGGAACAAAAACTGCTGATTGTTATCAGTGCCCTAATTAATTTTTATAGGTTCTGACTTTTTTTCTTCGAAATATTGTCATGGGACGAAACGGTATTATTGCCCTCTCTCTATTTTTATTAGGAGGGTGATCGCTCTCCTCACCTCCCAGACGTCTGCGACTATGCAAGACTGGAAGATTTCCTAGAACAAACCCGGTTAGGATCTATGAAGAACTGCGAGAGCGTTCTAGTGCAGTTATCGAAAATCAACTCGAAACCTCATTCCCAATATCAAATCTCAAGAAATGAAAATTGACCAATTCCGCGTGAATCTGTGAATCGACCCATTCTGAGTGAATCGGTTAATCATCCGATTTCATGTGAATCGTGATTTTTTTTCCTGTGAATCACTTAAGATTCTTTGATTCGATTCTCGATTCACCTGCTCATCTCTAGTTTCTTACATTGCTCTATCACTATTAATTATCCGTTATTTATACTTTTCATAGAAAAAGAAAATTAATCTCTTTGAGAGCAGGGGTGCACTTCCCCCAAGTATGAAACACCACTCAAAAAAAAAATATATTGCTCTCCTGTTCTTAAAAATGGTGATATTAAAAGAAGATAATAAAAAGAAAATAGGGAAAGTAAAATTATATAAATTGTAGTTTATTTACAATAAACTTACTGTTGTCTATGCCATGTTTTCCATTGTTTGAAAGTACCTCCAGATTGGAACCCTTCAAAAATATGGTCAAATAGTTCGATGGCGTAACTTGCACAATGCAACCCATTTCTGCACACCCCAGTTAAGGAGGTTTTAAATTCTATTTATTCATCATTCCACTAGGCATTCCTTTCTTGTACCGACACTAGTTTTATTATGCATTTTTTTTTAGAATCTGTTCATTCTAAAAGTTATTGATTTAAATTGTGTTCTGACAGCCGGAGAGAACAAGGAAGAAAGGAGGAGCAGGCAGATCTGGCCAGGTTTGATCCCTTCTGGGCCATGTTACAGTAGTAAAGGAGAGTATGGTACCTGCACCAGCTTCAGGAGGTGCTATCCTTATTTCAAGCTACCGGAATTGAGCACGTGGGAAACCTGGGTCCTTGGAATGTATGACACATGCACCTACTTCACATCCTCAGGCAAACAGGTGTGAATTCTATCCTTCAGTGCCTAAAATATCATAATAAACTTGTTGATGATTGCTTAATATTTAGTGGATTATTATTTCCATTTAATATAAAAGTTAAAACCTAAATAATTATGCCAAATATTGTTTATTTGATTAATACTTTATCATATAATCTGTATGTATTTAATTTATTAATATGCCCATCAGTATCAATGAAATTTTAAGTTCAAAAAAGTATAATATTTGATGCATTTTCTGCTGGTAAATCAGAGATGTACACGATTTTTTTTTTAAATAACTTATATTTTTTTTATTTTTTTTTTAGATGTTTGGTGTCTGTTGTACTAATCCAGTGACTGAAAAGCCTCCTCAACCACAACCTCCACAAACACAGCCTACACCACCACAGGAAATAAGACCTGCACCTGGAAATCCAGTTCCACCTAATTGGCCACCACCTGTTCCAACACACCCACCAGATCACACAATTCCTCCTTTACCTACCCATCCACCAACTCCTGGAGTGGTTCAGCCACAGCCTCCACAGCAACCATGGCCCCCAGCTACTACTACAAGACCAACAACACCTGCTCAACAATGGCCTCCAACTACAACTCGACCAACGATTAAACCTCCTCAGTGGCGACCACCCACTGTTGCAACCCCAGCACCTGCCCCTGTCATCCCATCTGAAGGTAGCTGTGGAGCTAAAAATGGTTACCAAGATCAGGAAAGGATTGTAGGTGGACAAAATGCTGACCTCAATGAATGGCCTTGGATTGTAAGTTCCATAAATTAGTTTGTAGTCAGTGTTTATATCATATATTTAATTCTGTATTTATTGTTGGATTGTTCATAAATTTCATCTTGATATTATTAGTTTATAATTTGAATTTTATAGTTGTTTAATTTGAACCTTATATAATGATGTATTGTGGTTCATTTTATCACTGATTATGGCATTGGTGATTTTACACTAATTCTTAAGATCAAAATATAACTACTCACTCTTGTTACTCTAATAACACCAACAAAGGCAGTTAATTAAATTGTTTGTGATATAAGGAATCAGTGATATTTATAACAATTGGAAAATTTTCATTCTATGCCATGAAATCTTCGAATAACTATATTATTTAGAGATTTGATGGAGTATGTATTTAAATGTCTTAGAGAAATATACTATCTCTATTTTATATGTTTCTTTTCTTTTCTTTGGTTAATATATGTGATTTGGTTTGTTTCTATCCTGAATTGGCAAAACTTTGATGAGTTAATTGTTTATGTGCATTTTAGAGATTCAAATCATTGTATTTAGAATTTTCGATTATATATATATATATATATATATTTACATTAAAGCTGATCTGAAGGGACTGGGTTTGGACGGCGAACGGTGGAGGGAGGTGTGTAATAAGCGATTGGTGGTGTCAGCATCGAACCTTCGTTAAGCCTTTTATTATTATTATTATTATTTATTTATTATATTATTATATATATATATTTTTTTTTTCTGTGGGCATTACAGACCATGTAGATCTTTTGCCGCCTTAACAAGCCTGCTGCATCTCTGCCTGTCTTGGGCTCTTTCTTCCCATTTATCTGCACACAGCTCTGTTGCATCTTTGTTGATTCTATCTATCTAACTGCTTCTTGGCCTTCCACGTAGTCTTTTGCCTTCTATTGAGGCATTCATTGTTCCGTAGAGGCTTCCAGATGGATTGCTACGAGCTACATGCCCCGCCCATCTTAACCTCCTTGCCTTCAATCATGGGATATTGATTGACCAGTTTTTGTAAGCAGTTCTTTATTGGTCTTTCTTCTTCATGTGTTACTACTCTGATCCCAGATCGCTCCAGTTATCGAGCGGAAGATTTTCCTCTCAAATCTTTCAACACTTTTTTCTAGGGTGCTGGTTAGTGTCTAGGTCTTACAGCCATATATTAGAACTGGCTTTATCATAGCATAGTACGCCCTTAGTTTGAGATTTCTTGAGATTTTTCAGGATTTCAATACCTTTGAGAGGGAGAAGAAAGCTCTGTTTGAGCTACTTATACACTGGTCTATTTCTGCCCATTGGTCATTCATTGAGATTATTGTGGAGCCAAGGTATTTGAATTTTTCTACTCTCAGAGATGATTTTCCTTCTATGCAGATCCTGTTATTGGGGTGGACTTTTCAGCTCATTATCATGTATTTTGTTTTGTTTTCATTTACTTGTAGTCTGATCTGCTCTGCCTCTCTTATCTATGTTGTAGCGAGTTTCTCAATGTCTTTTTTTTTAGCTTTTGTTTTTTTATATTTATTTCATTATATGTCATAAATAAATGGTGAAAAATGTAACAATTGTTAAATTCTTATTATCAAAAGAGATTAAATATGTTTTCCAAAACATTTTAAGTAAATTATTATCCTGTATGTAAACCATACAATTTTGCTCTATATAACTTGGTTATTAGCATTCATAATACTCAATAAAAAATAGTAATGAGAGCATTAAGTAAATAATTGAGAATAATGAGAATAAATATGTTAATATCAAATGAGATAAATTTGATTTAGTTTTATCTTAAGTCAATTTAATACTATCATAATTGCTGTTGTTTTTTCTAGGCTGCCTTATTTAACAGTGGAAGACAATTTTGTGGAGGCTCTTTAATTGATAACATTCATATTTTAACAGCAGCACATTGTGTCGCACAGTATGTATATTTGATAAAGTCTATAGATTTAATAAAAAAATTATTATAATTCGTGAACTATCGATAACAAAAGAATTATATAAGTAAATGCATTCAACGATAACCATTAATGAACCCAACCATTCATTTTTCACTGCATTTTTTTTTCTGTTGGTATTGCAGATCTGTTAGATCTTTTGCCACTTTAACCAACCTTCTCCGTCTCTGCCTTTTTCATTTTTCATATTTAAATGAATTTTCAGTGCATAAAAATTCTCAAATATTTTTTTCTCTTTCTTTACCTCAATAGATTTTTTTATTTCAATGACTATCTTGTTCACAACCTAGTTACTAAAAGCACTGTTTTTAATCAACTATCAAATATCAGTTTTAAATTCAACATAGTTATTTGCTTATCAGATGTCATTAATTTGTAGATTGATTTTGTATAGGTTTAAAGATTTTTTATTTTCAGTGAGTGTCAAATGTATACCATCTTTTGACTTATAAACAGCCAATTTTATTTTAAAAGTGATCGAAAAGTAACTTATATCTTCAATTTAAAGTATTTTTTTGTATTATCATGACTATGTTTCCTATCAGTATCAGATTCATGGAACATATCCAGGTATTGCCTTTGAGAGAGGGAAAAAAATCTTAAATCTTTAGAAGGTTGTATCATATTTTAATTACTAAGACTAATAAAGACAGGAATACAAATAGTTTAAAGTATAATCCAAACGGTGATCAATGAAATGAAACAATACAATTAGTAGCATTAGTAAACTGTTTCCCCATGTCATGCAGGATTCTTTGTCTTCCATTCAGTAGTGATAATTTTTTAAATATAAAATAACCACTTACTTCAATAAATAACAAATCTTGTTTTGTTTAGGATAAAATATGAAGCATATGTGTGTCACTTTGGATCCACCAATTATCAGTACTTAATCAACAGCATATTTCTTGAATTATTAAATAATATCATAGTTATTTTACAACCTAGAGTGATTTATATTTTCAGTAATCACTTTGGCAAGCCTAGTTAGAAAACAATGAACAACTACACATATAATTACTTTAAGAGAACTTCTTATACTAATTCTATTGAAACCATTAATTAGTGTATTTTGTTCATCAGAATGCATTGGAATGTCTAAAAAAAAAGTTTTTTTTTTTGTTTTTTCAAAATCATTGTAGAATATTACTGTAAAAAAAAAATGTTAATTTTATCAAGTTGCCGGTGTTCCTGAAGGTAGTATCCTAGGTCCTATCCTTTACACAGTTTATACAGCTGACATCCAAACCCAATCCAACACTGTCATCACCACCTACGCCGATGACAAGTGTATCCTATCAGTTAATAATGACCCAACCATTGCATCCCAAACTCTTCAATCGCACATCACAAGCCTTGAAGAATGGTGTAAAAACTGGAGGATTAAAATAAATTCCAATAAATCCCATCAAATTACCTTCACTCTTTGTCGTAAACCTATGACTTCCTGTCCTACAGTATCCTTCAACAATAGCCCTCTTATCCCTGTCTAATAAATCCGATACCTAGGACTCCACCTGGACAAACGACTCACTTAGAACCACTAGTGGATCCAGGATTTAATTTTGGAGGGGACTTCAGCCCGGAAGGTTTTTTTTCCCATATATATAATGATAATTACTTCAGAAAAACAGAAAGATACTAACTACCTATATGAAATGGTGTTTAAGTGATTCTTGAAGTCCTTTTAAATGTAATTAAATGAGCAATAATACTTTAAGATATAATTTTTTAATATTTTTTACTATAAAACATGGTTACATTTTACCATTTTGGGAGGGCTTCAACCCAAAAGCCCCCTCCCCGTAAATCCGCCTGTGCTTGGAACCCCCATACCAGACTGAAACGACTAGAAACCGCCCGACGTTTTAGACTACTGCAGCACTTACTAGACAAATGCTCTAAGATTTCAATCAATTACAAACGACTCGTATATATGACAATAATAAGACCTATTTGGACTTACCGAATGAGCTTTGGGGCTCCACTAAACCATTGAATTCCTCTTGTCTCCAATCCAAAATCCTCAACGCTCCTTACTTTGTCACAAATAAAATCATCCATAAAGACCTTAATGTTCCATTTGTTTCCGATTTGGCCCAATCCAGATACCTATCCTTCCATAACAAACTGCAGAACCATCCGAACCCTCTCGTTTCAAACCTTGCTTCCTCCTCGATCCCTGATCTGTCCCTGGTCTGAAAAGAAGATGACCTCGGGACCTTCTAATATAGAACTTTAATTTCAGTTCTACCAATGGGTAGTTTCTCTTCATGTTGTACATGTCATGTTACCAATGTCACATTTACTTGTTATATTTTTCATGTAATACAGTTGTAAATTTCATTAAAATAAATAAAAATAAAAAATAATTTTATCAAGAACCATAACTTTTAGAAAATAATTGTTTTCTTTTTTTTTTTTTGAATTACAGTATGAGTGCTTGGGATGTTGCGAGATTAACTGTCAGACTCGGAGACTATAATATTAAAAGTAATTCTGAAACAAAGCACATTGAGAAAAGAGTAAAAAGGGTGGTAAGGCACAGAGGATTTGATGCACGTACTCTTGTAAGTTAACTAGATAATTTTTATACTATTACACTAATGTAAATATAGTATAGTTTTCTCACTATTTTTTTTTTTCCTTAGTATAATGATATAGCAATACTTACGCTAGACTCACCAGTTACCTTCTCACAAAATATTAGAGCTATTTGCCTTCCATCAGGGGGAAGTCTCTATGCAGGACAAACTGCTACTGTTATTGGTTGGGGAAGCTTAAGAGAAAGTAAGTTTCAAATATTCAAAATATCAGAGAAAGGTTTCTCAAACATTGATTTATTATTAGAAATTTTGACTTTACAGAAAATAATTAATTAGTATGATTATTATAATAATTATATTAAATATTAAAATTTCAAACAAAATAGAGTAATTTCTGATGTTTATATATTAATAGCTGTAGACTACCAGTATAAAAACATTTTGACTTTTCAGGTGGGCCACAACCAGCAATTTTACAAGAAGTAAGCATTCCCATTTGGGCAAATAATGAATGCAGAGCTAAATATGGTCCAGCTGCTCCAGGAGGTATTGTTGAGCACTTCTTATGTGCCGGGCGGGATGCTCGTGACTCTTGTAGTGTAAGTTTAAACATATTGATCATAATATTCATTCTTTAAATGCTTTGATCAGTTTTGTTGTTGTCATATATCTATGTATTATCATCATATAGTGTTAAATTATTAAATGGAGCAATGTTTTACAAATATCTAATTAATTTCATCTATAATTATTTGATTCATAATATCTGTAGCATTAAAGGGTACTACAAAAGTTTGCTTTTATCATTAATAGATTTGAAATAATTTATATGATACAATTTTTATTTGTAATTTTTAGTACTTTTAATTTGAAAAATATAATGCTCTAAGGTTATTCTTCGATGAAATTTATACTAGATTGGAAAAGTAACAATAAACTATACTTGAATATTTTTTTAGTACAATTTAAATTTTGTTTTAAACTTAATTTGTATTATTTTATTTTTTTAATCAAGTTAATACTCTTTTACAGGGTGATAGTGGTGGGCCTTTAATGATCAATGAAGGAAGGTGGACACAGGTTGGAATCGTCAGCTGGGGTATAGGTTGCGGTAAAGGACAGTACCCAGGGGTATATACTAGAGTTACCCATTTTTTGCCATGGATTGCTAAGAACACAAAGTGACTGGATTGAAGTTAGCAATGATAATTTTTAATTTTTATGTATTTTTATACATGTGTAAAAGAGAAGAAAATATTAAGGAAATACTCTGTGATCACTTAAAAATATAAAAAATAAAAAAAAAAATGTTGTTTTTAAATACTTTGGTAAACTATAGGCTAAATTAATTGTGTATTGTATATTATATTGATTAAAAGTTATAAATTAAGGAATTATGAAATATCATGTTTTAATGATGAATAGTGTCATTTTGAAAATTTTGATAAGAAACCTATTAGTATAATTTATTTTATGTATAGTTTTTTTATATGTATAATTATCATTATTTTTCAACCAACTCATTGATATGAACAAACATAAAAATACATAACAAACATAAATAAATCATAGAAACACACAAAAAACATTTAAAAAATCAGAATTAATAATAAACTGTTAATTTATTATAATTTATCAAAAACTATTATAATGCTGGTGTAAAAAAAAAATAATAATATTATTTAGAATAAGTATTACTTAAGATTACCATTTCTTAGTGATATTTGATTTTTAGATATAGGAAGAACCAATATTTGATACTTATTGCAAAACTAAGTTTGTAAAAATGTATCTTCTACAAGTATATTAAAAATGTTTTCAAAAGTAATGTTTTATTAATAGAAAGTTTATAGTTCTTCAATTAATTTAATGTTGAAAGAACTGTATGATATCCTCTGTTTTTGGGTGAGTGTGTGGTCTAAGAATCATGCCATTAAGGATTTGTAATATATACAAAATCATCATAATTAAAAATCACATATATATATAATGTATATGGATCTACTTTATTATTTGAAATGTCAGTTTTGGAAGTAACATTAATAAAACAAGAATGAACACAAAGATTTGTTAATTAAAACACCCTCTACTGGTATCTATCATTTCTAGAGTATAAATTCCCATAAATATCAAGTTTTTGATTCAGCTTGAAATTCAAGTTACAAAAAAATGATCGGAAGACTATTTTAAAATAATAACTTCACTATTGCTCTGATGGAACACATTTTCTAAGAAGGAATTCTGAATACCAATAAAGTTGTAATTACTCTGTGATATAGAAATTTTAATTGAAGGTTTTGTATGCCCAACCTAATTTTGAAATATGAAGACAAATAGTATCATGCAAAATGTTCCCGATCCAACACTACTATCTAACTATCTATCTACGTAGCGCTACAAACCTGGGTGGGTTTTGGCCTCCTCAATGAGCCGCTGCCATTTGGCCCGACTTTGTGCTGCCGTTTTCCAGCTTCTGATCTGTAGCAGGCTCTGTGCATCCGCTGCCACTCCATCAACCCATTGAAGCCTTGGCCTACCAGGCCGTCGTGTACCATGAAGGGTGATGTTCACTACTTTTCTAGGAATTTCTTCCACTTTCATCCTTGCCACTTGACCAGCCCAACTGAGCCTCCCCAGTTTTATAAACTTTACAACGTCCATATCTCCATAAAGGTCATAAAGCTCCCTGTTCCTCCTAATCCTCCATCCATCTCCATCTCTCACTGGGCCAACTATTCGCCGTAAGATTTTTATTTCGAAAATCAAAAGATTATTTTCATCGCTTCTTGAGATGTTCCAAGATTGGGAAGCATAATTAAGAACTAGGCTTATAAGAATCTTGTATATTACCATTTTAATGTACCTGCTAATGGATCTGCTGTGGAGAGTTTTCATTAAGGCAAAATATGCCCTATTTGCTGCCACCAGCCTTTTCCTTATCTCAGCAGAGACATCGTTTATTAGAGTTACTAGAGATTCCAAATATGTAAACTCGTTCACCCTTTGGAATGTGTATGGACCAACACTCAGTGCCTCGTTATTTTTATATTATATTATTTTTATATTATTGCCTCGTTATTCTCATTTATGGCCAATCCCATGGCTGAAACAGAGTCCATGAGTTTCCTAAAGGCCTTTACCAATGCCAATCGGGCCCTGGCCACGATATCCAGATCGTCAGCTTATCCCAATATCTGTACAGTAAGGTGAATATCATATGGTCTGTCTGGATTCCTGAATCCCGTACAGCTTTCTCCAGTGCAAGATTGAAGAAGAAACAGGCCAGTCCATCTCCCTTTCTTAATTCTTTGTTGGAGGGAAATGCTTCAGAGCAGTCAGACTGGATCTGTACCTGACACCTTACATCTTTCATTGTCAACTTCATGAGACATATCAGTTTGCATGGGATACCCATTTCTTCTAATGCCGCATACAGCTTAGGTCGTTTGATGCTGTCATATGTACTCTTAAAGTCGACAAACAGGTGGTGTGTGGGGATTTTATATTCATGACCCCGTTCCAAATTTGTCCCAAGTGGATTGCTCAACAGTGGACAAATTTGTCTTGATCAACAGTGGATCTGCCTTTCCGGAAGCCAGCTTGATATTTCCCGTTCCGTAAATGGGGTAAGTCTGCTGAAAAGGATATTCGAGAGGATTTCGTAGGCACAAGACAACAGAGCTATGCCACGGTAGTTCATGCAATCAAGTTGGCCTCCTTTCTTATGGATATGGCATATTATAGCATTAGTCCACTGTCATGGCACTCTTTCCTGATCCCAAATTTTTATAGGGATTTTATATCGGTCACTGTCCGATATGTCAGGACTATATCGGACAGTGCTCTGTGCAATTCATCTCCCCCATAGCTCAGCTGGCAATTCATCCGGTACCGGTGCCTTATTGTTTTTCATGCAAAGGATTGCATCCATTACTTCCTCAAAGTCTGGGGGCTCCATATCTCCAAGATTGTCAGGCATATCCTCTCTAGCAATGTCGCGTGCCTATATATCTTCCATAACCGCTTCCTAATTTAATAACAAACGGAAGTGCCTAGCCCACCGATCCAGTATATCTGGCTTATTGGTAAGCAGTGTTCCATCTACTTTCTTACATGTTTGAATCCTATGCTTAAAAGCGGTACTATTGACCTTCTGTAAGAATTTCCTATTTCTTTTACACTCCAATGGGCCTCTATATCCTCCAGCTCCTTTCTCTCCCATGCTCTCTTCTTATTCCGGAGGAGTTTCTTCTCCAGCCTTCTTTTATTTCTTTATTCCTCCGTGGCTCTCCTGGTGAAGAGCTTATTTAACATGTTCCTGTAAGCTTCATTCTTCGTATCATTGACAAACTTACACTCCTCATCGAACCATATACCTCGACCCTCAAGAACCTCCTTCCCAAGGATTTGTTCTGCTGCACCGTCCAAAGCCATTTCCAGTTGGTCCCAGACATCATGTACACTTTCGACGTCAGCTACTCTTAGCCTGTCTCTCACCAATTCTTCCATTTTCTGGTGAGATGCTTGGCAGCTTTCTGGGTCCTTCAGCTTTCCGATGTTCCACCTTTTGGACCTTTCAGTCCTGTGGCTCCTGACGGTGGCAATCCTGGCTCTAATTCTTGATATTACAAGGTAATGGTCGTAGTCAACATTTGCTCCCATATAAGTCGTTATTGCTAATTAAGATGTGGTCAATCTGGTTATGGGTAACGTCATCGGGTGATTTCCATGTAACCTTGTAAATCCGCCACCCTGGGAACAGAGTACTCCCAACTTCCAGATTTCTTGATGCTGCAAAATCAATGATCCTCTTGCCGTTTTCATTGCTTCCCTCTTGCAAATTGTCCAGCAGATTCCCTGAAGAGCCGTAATGTCAAGTCTGTATTTGTTCAGTTCTGAATGGAGAACTTGAAGCTCACCTGGTCTATATAAAGTTAAAATGTTCCACATTCCTAGTCTGAAGTCCATTTGACGGTTTCCGTGTCTTTTACCATATGATCTGCTGGCTATTTCTCGTTGAGGTCTCGCGTTGAAGAAGTTTCAGAGAGGAGTATTATAAGCCCTCCTAGTCAGGTATAGGTGCTGCCTCCTCACACTCTCTTGACAGGCTCATGGGCAAGTTGCCAGGCTTTAGCCTACCTCATCAGTCCCAAGCCGACCGAAGAGATGTTTCCCACCTGCGGTATGGGGAGCCACCTGACCAACCCTTGTCACCTTCGCTTCCTCTCCCTAGGGTGCTGGCCATCATTGGTTGATTCCACTACTTACCAGAGAAGGGATCTCTGGCTAGTTCCAACCATAGGCAGGTAATCCAACACTACATTATTTATAAATATTTTTGTGGTATTAATGGTACCAAGGTAGAAGCATAATTCAATTAAGACAGAAACAGAATTTATTCAACTATATTAAGTATATGTTTAATAATTTCTTTTCTATTAATGGCATTGGTCAAGTCCATACAGCCAGCTAAAACATTAAGTTAATTTTTTTAGGTCATAATAAACTAAATATATTTCCAAATTGCTTTAAAAGAATTTACCACATTTCTTATCTGGTAACCGCTGCTCAGTCACAATATTTGTTTATAAGTGATGTTGCTATTGTTTAAGGATTGGAAAATTTGTCTTCTATGAACTTCATAAGCCTTGCATTCCCTAGGTCCATACTGTTAGAAACACAACATTCATTACCAATGATATTTTATATATTACATAACTTTAGTACTTTTAAGTGCATATAGTACTTTAGTACTTTTAAGTGCATATAGTACTTTAGTACTTTTAAGTGCATATAGTACTTTAGTACTTTTAAGTGCATCTAGTACTTAAGTACTTTTAAGTGCATATAGTACTTTAGTACTTTTAAGTGCATATAGTACTTAACTTACTCAAATTTACTTAATGACAAGTTATGAATGCAAATAAAAGAAAATTAGATAAAGATAAAAAAAGAAATAGAATAGAAGGGGCAGAAGGACTATTTGCCTACTTCTCTGGATATCTTATGTAAGCTAAGCCATTGCCTGGCCTCTCCTTTCTCTTTCTTGTGCTCTGAGTCTTCTGCCAATTCTCGCTGTATAGTCTGATGCTGCACTTCAATTTTCCTGCTTAGTCGCGATCAAAACTACTAAGTTTTCCGGGGATGATTTTGTTCTGAATTTCTTGTCGTGCATGTGTGTGTGT